AACTCACTATGATACCGCTAAACATTTAATATCTTTATTAGGGCACCATGCAACTGAATGTACAACATCTTCTAAGTTTAATTATTTGACATAAGTATTTTTAATTATTTAAAAATTTCTATTTTTTGTTTAATAAAATTATTTTTTTAAATAAGGGGAAAATTAATTTTTAATTAAATCATGTGAAATCATAAAAAAATTGTATTCAAAGCAAGAAACATTCGAAATTTTGTGTGTGTGTTTGAGTGTTAGTGTAACATTACTTTAAAAAAAATTTCAATTATTTATCTACCATATATGTAAATGACAAACAAATTAATAGGATACTTTTTTCAAAACTGATTGCCTAATATTTTGTTCCATTTAGGAAAAACTAGAAAAAAAAAAAAAAAAAAAGGTGACAGTCAATTAATTAACAGTTATGATTACAATCGCATGATCATTTTGGTATGTTTAATAATAACTATTGACAGATGACCATAATCGTAATTACTATTAAAATCATACCACAAATAACCATAATTATCATTACCAATATTCTTTCTTTTTCCCCCATCCCTGCCTCTTTATTCCATCGATTTGTTCTTTTTCTCATAATGAATAACTAATTATAACAATTCAGTAATATTAGTGATAATAATAATAGTATAATAACTGCAAAGATGATCATCACCACCACAACCACACTGAATTAATAATATAAAGTATGTAAAATAGACGAAGGGAATTGATTGTGATGATTGCGGAGATGTTTATTACTACGATGATTAAATATGTGTGTGTGTGTGTGTGTGTGTGTGTGTGTGTGTGTGTGCGTATGTGGAATATGTAATACGTTTTCAAATTTTATTTTTTATCTACCAAATTAGGAAGTGATGCAATAATATGGGCTCAATACGGAGTTTACTTAATGGAGGAAATTGTAATAGAGAATAACACAATCGAATGAATGGGATAGGAAAAATAAACAACCAGCAAAGCAATATGGAAATAGTAAATAAAAAAAATTAATGAATAAAGCAAAAAGAAGAAGAAGAAGGAATTAATTAGTAAATTAATTAATTTAAAAAAAAAAACAATTGAAAAATGCTTTGTATGGCAATTTCTAATAGTCTTAGGATATTGATTGCCTATAGATAGGGAGAATGCAAAATTTAGAAATAGGCGAGAAATTCATATTAGGATGAATAAAAAAAGAAAAAGCCGTTGTCATTTTTTGGATTGAATTGGGAATTGAATTGGGAATTGAATTGGTTTGGATTGGTCTAGTTTGGTTGGAGTGTGAGAGTGAGTGGGAATGAGTGATAGAGACACGTACTCCATAACAACTGATTGGTAATATCCAAATTATCAATAACCGAGAGAATTTTTACAAACAAATAATAATCGTCA